CTGAGAGCGATTGGGAGAACTGTGTGAGGTCCTAAGATGCCTCCTTTGAAGGGACTGAGGTGTCACTGTCCTGTGTACTGTGTTTCTTGTACCTTGAATCTTCAGTGTCTCTATTTTTCATAGCACATGGCCGGATACCTTCTGAACAGACCTTGTGAACACACTTATAGATTCTTTGGTTTTCATGTTACATACAGACTGAATGCTTAAGAATTCTCTAAACCTGTCCCTTTCTTCAAATATGATTTATTTATAAAATGTGGTAAAATAATGAGTATTCATAATCAATTTTTTAAAAATTTTCTAATAGAAGAAATTGCTTTTAAACATTGGAATTTAAATAAATCCCCCTTCCTGTATTTAATACTTATCAGTAGTGAAACTCTAACTCATCATGTCTTTGCCTTGAATGAAATCTGTGTTCCAGAAGAAGAAGGGGAACCCGAGGAAAAGAGTGAAGAAGAAATTGAAATCATAGAAGGGCAAGAAGAAGGCAATAAATCAAACAAGTCTGGATCAGAGGATGAGGTAAGCAATTCTTAACGGAAAATAAACCCCTTTCTGTGTCTGATTTGTTGGCCAAAAACTTATTTCAATAAAAGCAGCAATCTGCTTTGTGAAGGCATTTTTTGGCCGTATCTCTATCAGTTTCCATAAGAGCCTCCACACTTAATAAACAGTATAAAGTAATGAAACAGTGTAAAGAGAGAGCTGCATCTATAAAAAATTAAGACTTTGTCATTAAAGTATTCTGTTGAAAGGTGTAATAAATACCATTTGAATATTTACAAGGTAATTGTGTTTATTACAAACAGTTTTCTTAACAGCCATCATAAAACATTCTCATTGACTCAGTAACTTACATTTCACATTCTGAAATATTTCACATGTTGGGTAGTTGAGTATACTGTGTGCCTGTTGTGGTGTTTTTTCTCAAACCTTTAGTATAAACTGATTTTCCCATTAACTGGCTAGGTCCACCCCTTTGTATGTCCTGGTGTGTAATAGAACTTCCCACAGTGCCTTTGTTGAGTCAGTTACTGTGGGATCAGAAACATCCGTCCCTGTATCATCGAGAACCAGAGCCTTCTGGTTTGGTCCAGCTTCAGGGAAAGCCTGCCCTCCCACGCCCCTTCCCTGGAAGAGCTGCGGACCGCCGCTCCCCTCCCTCCCCTCCCGGGGTCAGCACTCTCATTGCCTCGGCTTCGCGGGGGTGGCAGTGCGGTTGGCCTGGCCTGGCGCACAGGGGGAAATACGCTTTCCATGTTGTCTGTGTGAAGAAATCTCCCAAATAAACGTGGGTTTTGTTGTTGTTGTTATTACTTATTTTCTAAACTTGTTCAGAACATACCCCTGGTTAGTGGTTGTAACGGCCGCGTGAGGGTGCAGCGGGGCTTGGGGAGCCTCAGCTAGTACGAGGAGCCGTGTACAGGGGGCGCTGAGCGAGGAGGGTTCCTTCCAGAACCGGGTTTTACCCAGTCGTCGTTTCAGCTGTCGGCATGCTCCAAATAATAATGCTCGCAGTGGTTCACTTGAACGTGTATTCTAGTCACATTTGCCTCACAGACACTTTGTGTACCTTCAAAACTATCTCAATTCCATCTTCCAGGCTTTTAGGTTCCTTGTATACCTTTGTTAGTGAGCTAAAACAAGCCAATTTTGTGTACTATAGCTTTGAGAAATAAGTATAACTCGTTTGTATAATAATATATAATAACTTCATTATTTTATATTGTTACACAAGTTTAGTTTATGTGTAAATGCTTATTCTAGACAAATAAGAATTAAAAGAAAGGAAAACCCAAACCACAAATGTGATGTTTCCCTCTCCTCTCTCCTAAGTTCTCTCAAAGTACCGTGTGCCAGAAACTCTGAAAAAGTGTCTGTAAATCCACTGCAGCAGCCCATTGCTTAAAGAAGTCATGTGATGGCTAGTTAGTGCTTAATATCCCACAATGAAAATATCATAGAAACTTCAGTTAGTTATTACATTGAGATTAAGTTCTAATTCATAAAACCATGAATTGAGTTGTTAGCAATATTCCTTGTCAGATACATATTTCATAGGCAGAGTTCTTCTAAAAAGTAATCGTGCCAAGAGATCAATAAATTAAAGCATCAATTTATATACACGTGAAGTCAACGCATGAAGTAACGGGACATATATGACATAGCATTTGATTGTTAGAACATGTAATTTAGGGAATAGGAAGTACATTTTTTACTACTGTCTGTGTGCACACTGTGAAAATCAATGTTTTCACAATTCCCTTTCTCTAGATGAAGGAGGCGGACGAGGGCGCGGGATCCGGAGACGGGCCGGTGAAGACAGTACGCAGGAGGAGGGCGCGGAAGGAGTGACCGTATTTAAGTGTTTCTGCTTCCTGACGCACTCCTAAGACCAGGGTGCCAGAGCTGAACTTGAATCCACCCGCACATCCTGTCTCCACATCTAGTATGCTGTTCTTTCAGACCTCCGTTCAGTCTTTCCAGGGGAAAAAACCTTTGAAGTTACCTGGTCTTCGAATTTAGAATAAAAAAAAAGTGGCACGTTACATACGAGGTTTATGAGATTAATATCATTAGAAGTTACACAGTTTTAATAGTTTGGAGAAAGTTTCGGTTTGTACAGAGCAAAATAATATGCAGCAGCTTCCCTGCTATTGGGAAAACCAGTTATTGGGATTCCCTCTTAAACGGCTGCACTGCGGTATAACTGGTGGTTCCACAATAAAAACGAGTGTGTTCTGTCATACAGAGCTAAGTGCAATAAAGTTTCTGTGTGGCTGTTCTATCAACAAGGTGTTGTATGTGACCACGTTTACCTAGTTGGTGTGCAATGACAGTTTCAGTCCGTTCCCTGAAATTACAGATTCCTTTAAGGAGGTGTTTTGTTGGCAGACAAGTTAACAAAAGAGAACTGTCTGAGTGTCATTCACAGAATCACTGGTTAATAGTGCAGCATATTTTACATTTGAATGCAAAAAAAAAAAAGGTTCATCAAACAAGTTTTTCAAGCTTTTATTTTATGCCAAAACATTTGCCTTACTCATTGCGTATGTGTACATTGCTCTTGAGGATATCATTTAAATATTTTCTTCTTCATTTCCTTTTTAATAGGTAAGTTATTACCGGGAGGCTTTACATTATATTCCTGATCATTAAGAAATTATAATGGCTAATAGATGTCATGCTTTGTATTTTTGTCTTGGTTTTTTCCCTGGCAAATTCAGATCTACTTTAAGTCAATTCTCTCATCCAGCTTCAAAGCTGCCTCTGAGGCAGATACCGGCTACTGTCAGTGATCTCTTGCTCCTCTTTGTAAACTACCGGAGTTACCAACAGTCACGGCATGGCGGTAAAATGGAGCTGTGGTGATCCACTGAAAATGTTGTAAGTTATTATGTTTGGGTAACAGGTCAGGTCCTTTGGAAGGTGATCTAAACCTTTGAGACCACAAAGCCACTCTCATACTATCCAGGGAACTTCATACTCACTGGGTACCATTTTGGATTCCCGCATGGACACACACACCCCATTGTTGGGCAAGCACCGACTAAGTTCCCGTATGACCCCCTCCCCAGTAGTACATTTAGAGCACATGTATAAGGAAAATGAGTCTCTAGACTCTCCTTCTACTAAAGGAAGCCAAACATACTCTTATTTCAGAGAGTGAACGGAAAATGAAAATGAGTTTTTTATTCTATTGCTGTATTCCAAACTTTCATAAATTGGTGGTGGCAATCTTAATACGTAGTCAGTTAACCATATGTTTTATTTATTTAATACTAACCCAGCACATCTTGCAAAGGTCCCCTTTCTTGCTTCGTATTTGGAATGTCCAAATGAACTAGACATACTGGATGATGCTAGATGAGAACGTTTCTGAAAGTAAACTACGTCGGGAGATAAATCTTTGATTACCGAAACCTTGTCTGACAGGTATCCTCTATGTGAACATTTTTTCCCTGAAGCTTTTTTTACTTTCCTGGTTGCCGATTCATTTTAACGTTAACATTTGGTTAAACTCTGACAGTTTGCAGTGGTAAAATCTGAGCAACCAGTTTTGTCAACTTACTGCTGCTTCCTGTACTGGAGCCGTGCAATGGACATAGTCTTCCTAATAACACGATGGCTTTTTCCTTCTACCACCCTAATCTGACTTCAAAATGACTTATGTTTTGTCCTTTTCTCTAATAAAGGAGAAAAATAAATATATTTTGCTTTTATTTTAGTTGGCCTTTTAAGAGACTTTTTAACTTGGCCAGTTAAACTAGCTTCCTTTTTCTTGATTTTTTTTTTTAAAGACAGCCTAGCTTCCATTGATTATTTCTCTGGAAAGACATGTTATTAGAATTAGTAGCCTTTTTTGAAAACTTTGCATGTATACCCCATGTGCTTTTTCTGCAAATTAGAATGGTGCTAATTAGCCTTGGCTGGTGTGCCTCGGTGGATTGAGGGCCAACCTGCAAACCAAAGGGTCGCAGGTTCAATTCCCAGTCAGGGCACATGCCTGGGTCGGAGGCCAGATCCCTGATTGGGGACACTTGAGAGGCAGCCACCCATTGGTGTTTCTGTCTGTCTCTAAAAATAAATTTTTAAAAAATCTTTTAATAAAATAGTGATAATTAGTGTGACTTGGAAATTATGGTTAAAAATGCCAGAACATCTTCAAGTTTCTGCTAGCTTGTAGCACTCACCTCAGAACCATTAGTTAGGAGAGAAATGTTTATATTACTTTATATTATTTATCTTTCTATCACATATGTTGTTATGGGAGATTAGCCTAACCTAAAATGTACAATACCTTTCCCCGGAAATCTTGGATTTTTCTTTGAATTCCTTTTATTTTTTAAATTAATGTATAGTAATCCTGTGACATTTGTCTTACTAAGATTATTATTCCCCTAAACACCCAGTAGCTGGCACTTAAGGAAGACAGGCTTCCAACAACCCTAGGCACCCACTTTGCCACCCCACGATGCCGAAACAAACCACCATTTCTGAAACAGCTTTTTATTAAACAGCAAAGCAAAACTGCAACACAATTTTTAACATTTGTAAATTAGGTCACAAAAGGGATGCAAAATATTTTGCAGTATGATTATATATTCATACAGCTGAAGTCATTCATCAAATTGTACATCGATACAAATATTATTACATGATTAAAAGTAGCCCAAGCCTAATAACTATAAGCTATGTTACTGAATCTCTTTTCTATTGAATATTTAACATTTTAACATTACTTCTGATATTAATTTCCTTAGCAAATGGAATCTACAAACTAATTTTAAAAAATTGTTAAAGAATGACTGTAACGCTGCAAACCAAGTAGTTGCGCTTACCGAAAACTGGGAGAAGTAGTGAGATAAAATACTGAGAACATTATTAATTAGTATCACATGGAAAACTCTCCCGGTTTTATTCATCATTTTGATACTAATACACTCAAAGGACTCTGCAAAAATTGATCTGCTGAATACTATAAATATACTTTGAGGCCAAACGCTCTAGATGTGGTTTATTACAAGGTTAGTCAAACTTAATCCACTTGCATACGCATTTCCCCTAAAGATGTAATCTGTGCCAGAGACACAGGTGTGGGGCAAAAACATGAGGAGCAGGTTACTACTGTTTACCAAGTGCTCTCTCCATCCTACCTCTGTTTTTCCTCAAAACACTCTATTTCAAACATATGCACAACCAGAGCTCACCTTCTCAGATAACTAAGTTATTTTGTGTAAGAGGGAAGTTTTCAACAATTTCCCCAATTTGACAACTCAGCTTCAAGGAAAAAAAATCTTCATTTTTATAGCCTCTGTTTTCCGTTGAGAAAAGAGAAACCAGCAGTCCTGCCTCAGTCCCAGCACTAAACACGGTCATGCACTGCCAAATGACGGATGGGATGCATTCTGAGAAAAGCGTCGTTGAGGAATTTAGTTGTGCAAACATCACAGAGTGCCCTTAGACAAAGCTGGGTGGTGTGCCCACCACACACACTGGGCCACACAGTAGGTGCACTGCCCATCACAGCCGCAGTCTGTCACTGACTGAAATGCCATTATGTGGGCCCATGACAAACGACAAGCCCTGACTTTTGGTTGAGTTTCACCAGTAGAATTCAGGTTACTCTCATAAATGATTGACTACTGAAATTACTCTTACAAATGTGAAACCAGTTTTTTCCTCCAGGGGAAGGGAAATGGGGAGGAAGAAGCAAATGCAGAAGAGGCACAAGATGGTAGACAGGGTACAAAAAGCTGTGCATTCAGTACATGATTTTGGTCACTTTTTCACAACATGTTATTTTCTTGTATGTCCTACTCTGCCTATAATAAAACACGGTGCTAAACCTACAGATCAAAAGCAAATTCAATAAAACCTTATCAAGTTCCATAAATATATGCATTTCTAATTATAAAGTCTACATTTTCACATTTTCATAAACTAACATAATACGCAAACTCATGGAAGTCCTCTCTTACACTCTTAATTTTGCCTAGATCTGACATTACCTTTATAAATATTCAATGAAGCCACAAACAAAGGTACTATAACTTCTGAAATCTATCCAAGTTTTAAAGAAACAAAAGATCAGCAGCAATTCCGTAAGACAGAAGGGACATCAGTCCCTTACTTTCTTTTGCTTTTCGTGTCAGTTGTTTGAAAAACACTGGAAGCCGACATGAGGTTCTCTATATATTGTCCAAGAACTTGGTTTTCTGATTTTAGCTTCAGATTTTCTTCCTTCACTGCATCTACTCTTGCAGAGAGATCTATATTAAAAATAAAAAAGCCCATTATCAATAAAATGATGGCAGTGATTCCACAGTATAAAATGCTTAACATTTATTCTTAAGAAAGAGAACATAATTCTTAAACTTGTGGTCTTAAAATTCAGATCACTTTGGAAGTTAAGGTAAAGTGAACCGTGCAAGTCGATAGCCAAATTTCTGAAGCGAGATTTCACAGTAGACTCAATGTCGTTCTTTGTAAATAGTGTTTATGTTGACAACTTAATTCTTAAAATGGTTATTTAAAAAATTACGGACTTGGTTTTTTAATGTGAAGTTGAGCTCATGTCTTACCAATGTAAAACCGTAACATCTTCATTAGAAATGTTTAAGAAAATGTGGTAGCTGAACACAATTGAATTCATACACTGGGTATAGAAAGTCAGTTTCTTCCAGGCAATTGAACATTTTATAGTTTTACATTAGCAAGAACAAAAGATGCAGTTTCTAATGATCAAATAAAACATTCCCTCCATTCATTCATGTAACAGCGGAGTATTGGGTGCCCTCTGGAGCCAGGCACTGTTCCAGAGGCAAAAGCACGGAAAAAGAAGGCCCCTGCCCTCACAGAGCTTACGTTCTACCATGCACGTGGGCACTGGGGGGCCCCACGCGGGGGTCGGGGAGAAGGCAACAAGAGTTAGGGTCATAGGAAGGAAAAGGGAAGTTGGCCTTTTATACAGTACAGTCAGGGACAGCTATTTGGACAAGGTGGTTGGACCAGAAACATAGAGTTAGGGAATGAGCCTACAGATACGCAAATAACTACCGGGAAAAGATTCCAGCAGAAGGGGACAGCAACTAAGACCCTGAGCAGAAGCTTATTAAAAGAACACGGTGAGGGGCGGGGGCTGGGCAGAGTGTCTGAGGTAGAAGGTGTGAGGCCGTGTGTGTGATCTGGCTCTGAAAAATAAAAGGGAAGGAACAGCCTTCCAGAGTGGCTTTTATTAACTGTGACATTCACTGTGAACTGGGACACCACTGGAGTGACATGACCTGCTCAATCTAATATCAAAAAAAAAACAAAAACCCCAAAAGCCCCACAACCTCTTACTTTCATTAAAAACCAAGAGATGTTTCAGTGTTAGCATGAATTTTATGCACTGCGTCTGGAAAATAAGACTCAGATCAATTCACTTTTACTCTCTGCGGCTAACACAGGGCTGTTAGTTCAAGTGGACTCAGGAATACAATAGAGGGGCTCTCGTGTACTCAACAGCATCAGTTAGGCCATAAAGATGGAGGCTTTAAGGAACAGATATTGAACAATATCTGTTCAAGGAACAGATATTGATATTGATACAGATATTGATATCTGTAAGGAACAGATATTGAACAATATCTGTTCCTTAAAATCACCAGCCAAAGCTACAGGCAGGAGGGGAAAAATATTGAAATGGACTTGAAATTTATACTTTTTAAAACCGTGCACACTAAAAAAATGTAACATCACAAAAGCTTACAATGTCAATTGATTGATGTTGTTCAAGAAAACTACAAAATGCAAGCTAACCTTCAAGTGTGTGTTGGAGTTCCAACACTTGATTAATAAGTCGTGTTTTTTCCTCCAGTTCCACCTGATTTTCAGCATCAACTGCTGTAATAAAAAGGTTCAAATTTACTATTAACATTAGGTACCATTTGTGTCGTGTAGCACTTACAGATCTGCGAACTGTTTTATGTTGTCTAACTTGACTTCTACCAGAGCCTGTGAAGTAGCAAGTTCTGTTCCCACACTGAAGATGAGAACACCAAGTACAGAGGTTTGCCAGCATTTCATTTCACAGTAAGGAACTGAAGCTCACTTAAATCCTTTCCAGAACTAGAAGGGATATAAATAAGTAAATTAGCCATATCCAAAACTCTAAATATTCTTCTCTGTTCTTTCCATTGCTCTATAAAGCAAAAGCCCCCACAAAACCAGGAACATACAAAAGGAAAAGAACGCACCATCCATGTCGGCATTCATCATCTTGGGTAACAAACTTCCGGGCCTCGGATACAAAATCCTTGATGACTGGTCTGCAATAAGAAAAAATCAGAAACATAGACACACACAGATATACAAGATTTTCAAAAGAAAATTTTGTGACCCAGTAAGTACCCTCTCATATGCTTTACTGTTTCTAAGAATAAACACCCAATGGGTAAGCAAAGGGTATCTATAAATGGTGATACAGAAAAGTAAACGAGAGAAGACACTGAGTTTTTCTGTTATAAAAACAATTCATAATTAAATACCACTTACATTATAAAATTGCTTTTTAAAGATAATGATCAATACTAGCAGTTACGGAAAAACCAATGTCATTGTGCATTCATGTACTAAATGCCTCGCATATATTATTCATCAAACCGACAGAACACCACTGCAATGTACAGATTTGGAGTTTGTAGCATGTGCAAGATTTACAAAATATATCAGAAAGTCTATGTATTTTGCTTTAGATTTCAGACCCAACGTCTGTGTCAATTATTCGAACCTAGATCTAACTATAAAATCTCTTTCTTCATTATGCAATGGAAGAAACTTTAATATAGCCCTGATCTAATTTTGCCAAACATTTTGCAACTCTTGATATCAAACTCCTTTGATATTCCCACCAAGCAACTGAAAATAAATTTCATTCCCCTCAAGCTGCATCAACTGTCAGCATGGTTGGTTGGTTCCGATCCGCTCAAATTCTAACTTGTTCTGATTACATAAACCCACAAATTGAGGGAATGTTTGGCCAAACGGGGATCTGAACGCGGAGCCAGATCCCCAGAAAACGGCTATTGAGCTTCATGAGGTCACGCCCAGAACACACAGAGATGGCTGTGCATTCTCAGGTACGGATACAGTGTGGGGACCAGAGCATAGCACGTCCTTAACATTGTTACGTCATAGTATCAGAATGGATACACTGCACAACAAAAGCCCTGCCCTTCCGGAATGTATCCTCTTTCTCGGGTCCGATCCTAACTCCCCAAAACTTGTTCAGCAGGACCCTTCAGAGAAGAAAACGAAGAAACCAACCCCGGAGCTGCTTTCAGCGCCTAAAAACCTGTGGCCAGTCCCTTACCTCTCACTTGCCCTCGCCCCCATCCTGGTCTCGGCCTCTTCTCCCCCCACCTCCTGGGCTTGGCAGAGCAACCACAGCTAAGCCCAGAGGGGCCAGGTCCCCTCGCACCCAAACGCCCCTCCCGCAGCCACATTTAAGAGCCGGGGTGCTGGACAGCGGCCTCCGACTTGGGAGCGGCGGGAGGAGCGGCAGGACATCCGTGTCCCGGACAACAACCGCCGCACCCCCACCTCCCACCCCCGCCACCCCCAACGAAGCCCTGGGCCCAGTAAAGAGAAAATGAGAAAAAAAGGCTGCGCATGGGCTCTGCTCAGGTCTCAGCCCTCTCTCCGACGCCCAGGCCCGAGGCCGCTCCTCCTGGGCCCCCGGGGCGCCGAGCTGCGTCCAGCCCGCCCCGCCCCCTGGGCCGCAGCTCCAGTGGCCCGGGGCCAGGCCCTCTGCTGCCCTAGGCGGCCCTCACCTGCCGTTTGAGGGGACGGGAGGGGCAGGTATCTGGAGGATGCCTCAGGCCGGGACTCCTGGAGCACTTGACATCGGCAGCTCCACCCTCCCCGCCCACAGAGCGTGCGCAGAGCCGGGAGTCCCGCCCCGTCCCGCCAATCCCCACTCAAGAAGGCACGCTTGCGCATTAACTGCCCGGCGCCCCAATCGTCCTCTCTCCAAGCTCAGGGATCCACCTCCTGCCATAACAAAAGGACATTGGCGTCCAATCAGGATTGAAGTAGTTGTGGGCGGGTCCTGGAAGAGCAGCAGCCAATAACAGCACAGAAGAGAAGTCCTGCGTGAGAAAGCCCATCCAAGCATAGCCTCTGTTCCCTCTCAGCGGGAGCCTGAAAATTGGGCTCAGAAGTCCAATATGGAACATTCTGACAGCTGTCAGGAAGGAGGTTGGTAACAAGAAACGCTAGGCAAGAGAGAAATCATTGAAATGTAAAAAAGGGACATTTGTGGACATAACAGATGAAGCCCATGCAATTCCGTGGTCCCTCAATTCTAACAGCAGACTTTTCCATATTTTTTTATCTCCCAAGTTGGAAACCTAAGTATACCTCTAGTTGGTTGTTCCTCTCCAAATGCGTAGTGCCCTGACCATTTACTTGTATGACAGAGTTGAGAAAATACCTTAATATTACTTTGGTACAAAGCACTTTCTCTCACCATATTCCATGTTGAAACTCAAAACAACCCACGGAAAGAGACCGAAGCTTAGGAGTAAATGTCTTGCTCAAGGTCATACACATCCTGTCAAATGCTTTGTGCCAGGCTTTGGGCTGTAATGTTATCTGGCTTGATACTGTTCATAGATACCGTGTTTTGCCGTCTGTAATGCGCACTTTTTGTCCAAATTTGTGAGGGGAAAAATAAGGATGCACATTACATACTGGTAATACTAATTCCATATCTATGTAAATGTTTTTAATTCTTTTTTATGCTTATGCATTAAAAGTGTTTCTTTAGAAAGCAACAAAGATATCCATATGTCAAATAATACTCTGGAACATGATAGTTTTTTTTTCTAAATATAATAAATAACTGAATTAAAAAATTAAAACAAAATTTTTTTTCCTGAAAGTTTGGGCCAAAATGTGGGTGCTCACTATACATGGCAAAATGTGGTAGCTAGCCCTTACAGTAAAGTGAACCATCTTTATTTTCAATATTTGTTGAGTACGAGCTAGTAACATTCTCCTGAGTTAGAGGGGTGAGTCCTATGTCTGTCTGGTTTTTTTTACTTGTAGTACATTTTGCTGATACATGGCCTTATGCTTTTAAGGGTTATATTAAAAATGTATGTTTAAAAGTGTATATTTCAGTAGTGTTAAGTATATTCACATTGTTCTTCAACCAATCACCAGATTTTGCAAAACTGAAACTCCATACCCGTTAAACAGTGCTCCATTCGGCTCTCCCCCAGCACCCGGTGACCACTACTCACTCTCTCTCTCTCTTGAAATATGCCTATTTTAGGTACCTCACGTAAGCGGAATCATAGTGTTTTCTTGTGACTCACGTAGCATTACATCCTCAAGTTTTATCCATGTTGTGGCATGTGTCAGAATCCCCTCCTTCTTAAGCCCGGATAACATGCCACTGTGTGTGTGTGTTTTGTTCGTCCATACACTGTCAGTACACGCTTGGGCTGCTTCCACCTTTGAACTGTTGCAAATGCTGCTGTGAGCATTGCGTGTGCAAATGTCTCTCTGAGAACCTGCCTTCACTTCTCTCGGGTACATATCCACAAGTACAATGACTGGATCTGGTGGTAATAATTTTAAAAGCAGCTTTTAAAAATGTGGTATGCCTGCACCTGTAAGTTGTTGGACAATGAAGGTGTCTGTCTGATAAGGAAGATGAGTCAGTAAGGCTGTGGGAAAAACCTATTCATTCCTGCTGGGAGTGTACATGCTACAATAACTTTGTGAATTGGCTTTGAATTTTTTTACTTATTGATTTTTTTTTCATGATAAAGAGTGGGAGGGGACATGCTCGAGAGAGAAACATCGATTTGTTGTTCCACTTATTTGTACCATCATTGGTTGACTCTTGTACGTGCCCTGTCCTGGGATCAGATATGTGTCCTCCTCGGTGCATGATGCTCTAACCAACTGAGCATACCACCAGGGCATGTTAATTGGCTTTAGAAAGGAAAAGTTTTTACTGGTTTGGTTAACTTGGCTATTCATATAAAAATATGAAATTAGATCTTCATCTCACACACGAATAAAACTAAATTCTGAATGAAGTAAATGTAAAAGGTGAAAAACAAAACTAAACTTTTAGAAAACAGATGTGTTTATAACAACATCATAGGAAAAAAATTGTTAAACCAGCCAAAACAGCACCATTCATTAAGGAAAATATTTCAAATTTTGATGATTTTACAAACAGAAGAGTTAAAAGTTTTAAAACACAAAGAGAAGACATTTTTAATCAAGTTAAAAATAAACCACAGGCTGGAAGACTAGTAAAGCTCTGAAAATATAAAGAATTCTGACAATTTCAGATAAAATTATTCAATAACATAAGTAGGCAACTGAAAGAAGAGTAAACTGAATGGCCTGAGAATTTCTGTCCATATTTACCTTTATGAACAATCATGGAAATTCATACTAAAACAAGATAAAAGGGTCAGTTCATGAAGAAGTTACAAAATCCTGATAGTGCTTTGAAATGGTACTGAAGCAAACCGGATAGAGCTGAACTGTGTGTAAATAGAACTGTAGCCGGGGGGTTCCTCATGCCATTGCAATTTGTAAGTAAGTACAGTGTACAAGAAATCAGGAAGGAGACAGAAGCCAAGTCCCAATCATGGCTGCACATCAGAATTACCTGGGAATCTTGCAATGATTTCAAAGAATAGGCTACACTTCAACAGAGCAAAAAACAATCTTTGAAACACTATTAAAAACATCAATGAAACAAAAAATGGTTCTTTTAAAGGAACAATAAAATTAAAAGCTTTGAGTAGACTTATTTTTGAAAAAAATGAGAGAAAACACCAAAAATTGCAGAGAGCAAGAATGAAAAAAAAAGGCATCGCTATAGACCCCACAGACATTAAAAGGCTAATAAGGGGATATTATGAACAACTTTGCCCCAATAAATTTGGTAATTTAGATGAATTTGATCATTTAGATTTACAATTTAAATGGACAAATTCTCTGAAAAGAAAATACAAATGTTTACTCCACAAGAATAGATGATATGAATAGCCCTGTATCTATGTCATTACTAGGTTAACCTCCCCACAAAGAATACTCCAGATCCCAATGAAGTCACTGGTAAATTCTTCCCAATATTTTGAGAAATTATATCAGTTCTACACAAACTCTTCCAGAAAATAAAATAGGAAAGAACACTTTTCAATTCATTTTACATGAACAGCATTACCTAATACAAAGACTAGACAAAGACATTGAAAGGAAGAAAATTGAACACAGATGCACAAACCCTTCA